AATTAACATGTTAAACTACTTAATGAAAATACTAGTTGAAGGTAGTATTATAAAAGCACATTTTTAAAGGGCCCGGTGCCGTAGCCTAGCAGCTACTGTCCTCTCCTTGTGTGCACCGGGATCCCATATCAGCGCTGATTCGTGTCCTGGCTTCTCCACTTCCCATCCAGCTCCCTGCTTATGGCCTGGGAAAGCAGCAAAGCCTTGGGACCCTGCACCCGTGTGAGACCCAGAAGCTCCTGGCTCTGGTTCGGCTCAGTTCCGGCCTCAATGGCTGCCTGGGGAGTGAATCAGCAGAAGGAAGAGCTTTCTTTCTTTCTCCCCTCTCTGTGAAGTTGACTTTCCAATAAAAAATAAAGGATATAAACTGAAAATGTGCCCCAGCCATCAAATGGAGTATTGCATTCTCAGGAAGGTGAATTCATCCACAGCGGCTCTCTGCAATGTGACAAGGTGCGGGCATTCACAGCATTTCAAATACCGGGGTTCCAAGGCCACATGCCTCACTGGAGCGCCTGTCCTGTCCCGGCTCTGCCAACTCCCTGCCGACACCCAGCCTCAGCAGTGGTCAGGACGGCTCTGGCTCCAGGACTGGAACTCCGCCTACCAAGCCCTGCCTGCTGCGGGCCCCTGGAGGAGCAAACCAGCAGATGGGAGCTCATGCTTGCTCTCTGCCTCTCACATGATTTTAAAAACTGTTTAATAGGGTCCGGCACGACAGCATAGTGGTTAAGGTCCTCACCTTGCACGCCCGGGATCCCATATGGGCAGTTCTAATCCTGGCAGCTCACTTGCCACAGGCAGCTCCCTGCCTGTGGCCTGGGAAAATAGGTGAGGATGGCCCAGAGCCTTGGGACCCTGCACCTGTGTAGGAGACCCAGAAGAAGTTCCAGGCTCCTGGCTTCAGATTGGCTCAGCTCCAGTCGTTGCAGCCACTTGGGGAGTTTATCATCGGACGGAAGATCTTCCTCTCTGTCTCTCCTCCTCTCTGTATGGCTGACTTTGCAATAAAAGAAAATAAGTCTTTAAAAAAAAAAGAGAAAAAACTGTTTAATATAAGTTAAAGAGAGCAGTTACAGAAGAGAATAAACCTCCTACATTAATGTTTGTAAACATGAAAAGGCATACAAAGGGTCCAGCAGAAAGGACAGCCTTCACACTGCACTGCCCTACAGCACACAAATGTTGCATGTTTCTTTCCTTAAATAGCCGGATTTGGGATTTAACAACATAAAATTCTTCATTTAGCCAAAGCGTTGGTTAACAAAGTAACTCTGCTTTGATTCCAAAAGTCCCAAGTCGTCCTGCCACTTTCCTGAGTTGTACCATCTGCGCACACAGGCAGGGGATCTGGGGTAATACTCCAGAGCGAGGGGCCTGAGGCTAAGCCTCCAACTGACCAGAAACCACACACACTTCTCAGCCTTTGCTCTCAAGGGCAGTTATTAATAGATGGCTTCATGGCTTCAAATTCCTAAAACGTGAGTATTGTTTTATTTTGTGTCCCTAAAAGTGATAATATAAGCAATTCACCCACAGGTTCCTAGTAACTCAATTCTAGCCCATAAATTGTTCACACAAAGTATGTCCCAATTAACTCTGGTTATACTTGGCAACCCAGTGGCCATTTCAGTCTAAACAACCTTTAAGGCTATACTGTTTTTACTGCAGCAACAACACAAAGAGAGGTTTCTGTTAAAACCCTAGAATCATAAAAGCACCAGCAGTCTTCACTTTATCCTCTCCCAATGGGGCCCGGTGCAATGGCCCAGCAGCTAAATCTTCACCTTCATGTGCCAGCTTCCCATACGGGCACTAGTTCATGTTCCAGCTACCCCATTTCTCATCCAGCTCCCTGCTTGTGGCCTGGGAAGGCAATGGAGGACAGCACAAGGCCTTGGGACCCTGCAACCGCATGGGAGACCTGGAATAAGCTCCTGCCTTCACATCAGCTCAGCCCAGCTGTTGTGGCCACGAGGGGCATGATCTTTCTGTCTCTTCTCTCTGTAAGTCTACCTTCCCAACAAAAATATATAATACCTTTAAAATTAAAAACAAAAAACCCTTCCTAATGTATCTCCTTGCGTCACTCCTATCTGCCATGCTAGCACCTGAGTGGGAATCAGGTGCAGGAAACCGAGCATCCTCTTGGGCTGCTCAACCAGCTGCTGACAGCTGAAACATCAAAGCCCACTTCATGGTCCCTCCCTATGGTCCTTACCAAGACTGGCCGACCGGCACCCAGCGCACTCTGCCAATACTTCTCAGATGTTGAACCCTCTCTCAGGTGGCTCCAGGGTGGCCTGATCCTCTCAGTCTGCAAGTGTGCAAAGTTCTTCCTGTCACCATCCTTCCACTCATTGCTCTCTGAGCCCTGAAAGCCACCAAGACCCCCCCCCCGCTAAATGGCTACACGACCACCCCCAGATGCTAAGTGGCACAGGACACATCCCTGTCCGTCCCACGCCCAGTGTGAACTGGGTCTCCTTGCTGCACTCTGACAATACTCAGTACTTTTCCACCTTGTCCCTTCCCAGTAATCATATACTTGTTTAGAATCTGGCTTTTTCCACCAGTCACATGAATGATACCGCTCCACTGCTCGGTATGGATACTAGATCCAAAGCAATCAGAAGATGCTAAAATCAGGCTACAATTCAGTGGGAAGGCAAGCTCTATGCCGGACAAACTCCACTGGCTTGGCCAGACCTGAATCCAGACTGTTACAGCCACAATCTGAATCAAGGAGGGGCCTGTATTTCATTTCCACTCACAGCGAAGCATCACTTTCTGAGTCCGCACACGCTCTGCCTAACACAATCAGTCCTTCCCATTTCTCAGCTCAAGAGTCAAACCCAGGGCCCGGTGCGGTGGCCAAGCAGCTAAGGTCCTCACCTTGCATGCGCCGGGATCCCATGTGGGCGCCGGTTCCAATCCCTGAGGCCCCGCTTCCCGTCCAGCTCCCTGCTTGTGGCCCGAGAAGTCTTTGGGACCCTGTATCCACGTGGCAGACCCAGAAGAAGCTCCTGGTTCTTGGCTTCGCACTAGCTTGACTCCAGCAGTTTGGGGAGTGAATCAACAATTGGAAGATCTTCCTCTCTGTCTCTCCTCATCTCTGTACATCTGACTTTCCAACAAAAGTAAATCTTTTTTTTTTTTTTACAGAGTCAAGCCCAGGAAGTTCATCAGTAATCCAAAACTGACTTGCACATTTGGCCTATCTCTAACGGAGGATATAGAGGAAAACACAGTGGAAACTTAGAAAATTTGTCACAATCACATGGTGTGTCTGGTTGCCTACCACTTTCTGTTTGAGGTCAAATTAACTGCAGTGAAGAATAGATTCTTTCATTTGTAACAACCCTTTCAGTTTCAAATGGAATTCGCAGGGAAACTGTTGTAGCTACTGTTTGCCCAGAAAGGGGGAGAAAGGAGAACATGGCAGCAGACTGGACAGCGCACTGTTCTCCTCAGGAGTTGGGAGCTTTTCCTGTGATCCTGTTAATAGATAAAATCTACCCAAACCGAGTGGAGCCAAGACAGAAGTTTTATGTACAGCTCCGGGAGCAAGGCTCAACTCCTTCCAAGTATTCTATACATTAAGGGAGCCGTAATTCTGACAGGACAATATTAGAACAGCGAGGCTAACATGCTTCAAGACAGGCCCAAGCTGGGGGGCTGCACTGACCCAACCATACAGGCCCAAGCTGGGGGGCTGCACTAACCCAACCATACAGGCCCAAGCTGGGGGGCTGCATTAACCCAGCCAGGACAGGCCCAAGCTGGGGGGCTGCACTAACCCAGCCAGGACAGGATACCTCAAAGGGAAACACTGCAAACGCTAGCAGGTGACTGCTAATGGGGGAAGGGCGACAGATCCACCTTTCTGTGATGAATAACCATCAACTGCGCATCTCACCTGGGTTAACTATGGCATATATGACCCAGATTTCAATGAAGTTATTACAAACTGTGTGGGTGGGTTTCCAAGAGAGGCGCTTGGCGATAGGAAGGCGTCCAGCTTTCCAAGTGCAAGCCAAGCAGAGGCCTCCTGAGCGGTCAAGATAAGGCGCGCGCACAGAACAATCTACTCTGGCAAACCGTGCACAAAAATCAGAGCAATAATGAATCCAGAACCTGATAAGTCACTACAGAGCCTTTTCAAGATTCCATCCAAGCAGAAGACAGCGGATTCAAGGGCGGGTTCGTCCACTGCACCCAACTGAAGACCTGGATGAGTCACCACTTTTTTAAGCTCTGTCTATACTATTCCCATCCATAACTTAGCACGGGTTCTAGAAGCCAAAGCGAGCCCTTGAGTCACTCATTAACAATCGCGGCTGACACCCTGGTGAGGACTGATAGGAAACCGCATGGCTTAAACTAAGGAGGGACAGCGAGGGGACAGGGACGATGCGCTCACAAAGGAAGTAGCCAAGGACCCCCATACACTTCCGCATCCTGAAACAGACTCAGAAAACTGGAGGCAGAGAGCAGAAGGAGAAAGATAATTTTAGCTGTGCGCTCCCACCTTCAGATCCCGGCTCCACCTGGAACCTGAGCCTCCCTCTCCACTCACGTGGGCCCCTACCGGCTTCGGGCTCGCACGGCCCTTCAACTCCAACTTGCACCCACGAACCTGCGGCGTGCAAAGCTCCGGGTTCGGCGCTGGGTTCAAGAACCGTCACGACGCCCTGAACCAGGCCCTGTGTGTGCCCTTTACACTTTCGGGGGTGAGAAGCCGCCCAACGTCCCAGGCCCGCCTTCCCTCCCTGTTCCTACTGCGTCCACGCTCTCAAAGCCTTCCTGGGGCCGCCGGGGGAAGCCCTCGCGCCTAACGCCAAGGCCCACGTCCAAGGCTGGGGGAGACCCCGAGTGACCCGGCCACCCGCTCCGGGCCCGTGGAACCGAGGGTCCTCAAGCCGCGAGGCTCGCTGGCTGCAGCGGCCGCTCCCCCCGCCGCCCCGCGCACGCGGCCCCCGGGGCCGGCCCACACTTACGGCGTGCAGCGGTCGCTGTACTCGTTCGCGATCGTCTCGATGCCGCCGGCGCGAGCCACAGCGACGTAGCAGCTCTGGAAGCCCAGGTCTATGCCCACCACCGACATGGCGACGGCTAACTGCTCGGACTCGGGCCCGGGGCCGGCCGCCGAGACAGCACACGGACGCCGGCGGGGCTGGCGTGCGGAGAGCTGGCCGCGTGGGCCAGAGGACGGAGGGTGCTGGGCGGCGCCGGCGAGCGGTGGAGGCACGCGCGGCTGTCCACGCGAGCCCCCTTGGTCCTTGGACAAGGCACGGCGGCCAAGGGCGCTGCTCGGGCCGGCTCCGGCTCAGCGGCCGCAGAACGGGTACCGGGAGCGGGGGCGGAGAAGATCTCGAAAGATCTCGTTGCGACGGGAACCGAGAGGCAGCGCGAGAACAGCGAAGGAACAGAATGTTCTCGCGAGATCTCGACTCCGCCGCTTTCCCCCTCCCCCTCCCGAGAGCCCGCCCCGAGCACGCACGGAAGTACGTCACATCCTGGCATGAACCCTTGAAGGAGAGCGGAGCTGGCCCACGGAGCCTGCGCAGTGGACTTGCGCAGCACCTCTGCGCAGCCGCGGCCAGCTGTCAGACACCTGGCCCTGGCGGAAGGAAGGAGGTGGGGCGCTCTGAGCCCACTTCCGCCGTGTTTGTTTCTCGGAAGGAACTTCCGGCGGTGGCCTCGACCACTGCCCTCGTGTTAGGCCTCTCCGAAGGTGGACGGAAGTCCGCTCGGGCCTCGGTTTACCTTCGTGGAGGTTGGGCCGCTACTGAAAAGGCCGCCGTGGGTCCTCGTCCTCGAACATAGCGCCCTCAGCAGCGCGGGGGAGGAACCCACTGCCATCACTGACCTTTTTTGTTTCTTTATTTCCCCACTGCCTTTCTGGAAACCGCGCGTGTCCCTGGATCTTATACCTGGCGCGGGGCTCGGCCCTGGATCCACGGGCCACCACAGAGAGATAAATGCTCCCCGGGCCGGAACGTCGGCCACCCGGTGGCAGCGTGGCGGGTGTACACACAGGGGCATTGCTACAGTTATAGAGTGTTGAAGTAGAAAGAGGGGAGCCAGCTTGAGCTCTGGAAGCATAAATGGAAAAGGGATTGTAACTGTGTGTGCGTGCAAATTGTTTTGGTTTTTGGAAGGTAGAGTTTTACATCTGTTGGTTCACTGCACACACGGGACAACCAACGGGGCTTAGCAAGGTCAAAAACAAAATTGAGGAACTAAGAAACTCTGAGCTTGCAGGCCAAACGGCGTCCTTGACCTTCAGCACCAATGGACGGGCTCCAATTCTCATAAACCAAGGCCTAAGTCTGGTTATCTCACAAGTGACTCCAAGTAATTAAGTGGGTAGTTACCTTAATTGCTGGACCAGAGCGGAGTCAGGCATGGATTGTCCAGCCGGTAGGGAATGTGTGGAATTTCCCCTTCACCTTGTAAGCTATTGTGAATTGCCCCGTTTCAAGCTATGGTGGACTGCCCCTGTAACCCTGTGAATGTGCTGTTTAGGGCTGCACTGCAGTAAGGGGTGTTGGTCCCAGCCATTGGGTAGACTGCCTTCTCTCAACCAAGAACCCAAGCTCGGACATGCCAAGTTTGAATAAACCATCCTTGTGCACTTGTGTCAACTTAAGACTCCTGATGATTTCTAGGGATCTCAAAATCTGGGTACAAAAGATCCAGAAGCTTCTGCCAGGCTGCCCAGAACCCATGTCCCAGTTCACTGCTTTCCCAAGCACATTAGCAGGTAGCTACATGAGAAAGTAGAGCAGCCAGGAATAAAATCAAAGCCTGTATGAAATGCCAGGCTTGTAGGCCATGGCTTAACGTCCCATGACAGCTAGCCGCCAAATATTTGTGATGTTTTTAATACTTATTTTATAGTCATTGGAAAGGTAAATCTACAGAGAGAGACAGAAATCTTCCATTTACTGGTTCACTAGCCAAGTTACCACAATGGTCAAATTTGAGCCCATGCAAAGCTAAGAGTCTCCTCCAGGTCTCCCATACAAGTGCAAGATCCCAGGACTCTAGGCCATCCTCCACTGCTTTCCCAAACCATAAGCAGGGAGCTGGCTGGGAAGTGGAGCATTTGGGACACAAACCAGTGCCCATATGGGATGCCACACTTGAAGGTAGAGGATTAGCCAGTTGAGCCCAAACACTGGGCATATATATATGTGATTTAAAAAAAAAAAAAAAAAAGTGTTTAACAGGGCCTGGCGCAATAGCCTAGTGGATAAGGTCCTCACCTTGTAGGCACAGGGATCCCATATGGGTCCCAGTTCTAATCCCAGCAGTCCAGCTTCCCAGCCAGCTGCCTGCCTGTGGCCTGAGAAAGCAGTTGAGGATGGCCCAAAGCTTTGGGACCCTGCACCCTCATGGGAGACCCGGAAGAGCTCCTGGCTCCTGGCTTTGGATTGGCTCAGCTCCTGCCATTGCAGTCACTTGGGGAGTGAATCATCGGACAGAAGATCTTCCTCTCTGTCTCTCCTCTGTATACCCACCTTTCCAATAAAAAATAAATCTTAAAAATGAAAAGGAGTTCCAAACAAAAGTGTAGAAACAGTTGATAGGTTTTGTTGATAAGCTCAATACCTCCTCCCTTATCCCCATATGACCCTCGGTGTATGAAGTCTGATGCTACTAATGAACTTTGGCTTTTGACCATCAGTCAGAGTCCACGTGTGTTATTATAAGCGCCATGCACCAAGTCCATTGCTGCAGGACAGCGACAGCCTGGGAAAGCAGTCGAGGACTGCCCAAAGCCTTGGGACCCTAATCTCTTTCCAAGAGGGAGATCAGTGCATGAGTTGCTGCCCATGGAGGCCTGCAGTCTCCAGGAGCAGTGATGAAGTCCAGATTATTTGCCTTTAAACTTGCAAATTACCATATATTTAGGCTAATGCAAATCTGCTTTTTTTGTTAAAGCAGGTATGAGATGCCACGTGTAACTGAATAATTGGGTGAAAGCTGCTGGGAATAGTAAGCATGTTTTTTCACCCACATTCATAACAGTTTATTCATAATTGCCAAAGGAAGAAGTAATTCACATCTGTTGATGGATGAGTGAGATTTTTTTTTTTAAGATTTTTTTTTTTAATTGGAAAATCAGATATACAGAGGAGAGACAGAGAGTAAGATCATCTGTCTGTTGATTCACTCCCTAAGTGGCCACGACAACCAGAGCTGAGCCGATCTGAAGCCAGGAGCTTCCTCCAGGTCTCCCACGCAGGTGCAGAGTCCCAAGGCTTTGGGTCATTCTTAACTGCCCTCCCAGGCCACAAGCAGGGAGCTGGATAGGAAACAGAACCACTAGGACATGAAGAAACATCCATATGGGATCCCAGCCATGCAAGACAAGGACTTTAACCACTAGACTACCACCCTGGACCCGAATGAGTGAGTTTTTAAAATATGTTGTAACATATGATTGAAAATTATTCAGCCTTTAAGGCAAATGAAAATTTAATACAGTCTACAACATGTGTGAACCTCCCATGTTGTAAACAGACTAAAATAATAATAATAATAACTACAAATAGGTTTTTCAGATTCCACTGTATTTTTCACCTAGTGTAGGCAAACGTGGAGATACAAGGGGTAACCATGGCTCCTGGGCCTGGGGTCAATAGAACGGATGGCACAGTCTCCTTATGGATTGATGAAAGAGTCCATGGACGGTAGTGATGGTTACACATTTTCAGTGTGCATAAGTGGCACTGATTTGTACCCTGAAAATGATGGAAATGATCATTTTTACCTATATTCCAGCACAATTCTCCAAAGCTTAAAAATGTCATCGTCTATACCTTATTTTTCTCGTGGTGGGAGACATGTCAGTGACACCAAGGATCACGATGTTACATAGTCCTGCCCCGTGTTGATCTCAGCTGTTAAGTACTGGGCAAAGCTGACTCGACCTCGAGGATGGCCGTCTGGACCATTGGCTGTCCCCTCTTCCTCTTCGGGGAAGAGCGCCTCGGCCTTCACCAAGCTGAGCGAAGCAGAGCTGCCTCTGTGCTCCAGCTTCCTTGGTGCTGCCTCCCTCTCCAAATTCCATCAGCCACATCCATCTTCTCCATGATCTGTCCTTCTCAAAATAAAACCGAACTCGCATCAGTCACAGAGCGTACTCATCCTGCTATAAATGGTTTCCTGGATCATCAAACTTATATCTCAAGAGGCTATTCTGGGACATCTAAATAGATGAAGTCAGAAACAGTTATTTGAGAATTCTCAGGAATCCAGGGTGGCATAATTCCAGGAATCACAACTGTGAGGCAGGAAAGGTCCCGGAACATTTCGAGCTGGAGGCGTCATGACCAGAGCACTTCTTTTTTTCTTCTTCTCCTTTTTTTTTTTTTTTCCCTTTTCTTTTGTTTTGTTTTAACCGAGTATGGCATCTTGAGTATTTTCACAGCAGGAAGCTGCTAAATGCTTCTCTGGTGCAAAGGTTACTTTGAGTTCTGAGCCACCATGGTGGCGTTTGCTGGTTTTGAAATCCGTAGTGTTCACAGGCTGCCCCTCCAGAGACAAAAGGTGCTCAGCCTGCTGGGAACTGGCAGTCTCCACCGCTCAAGACGCTTTAGAGCGCTGTCCTCCGGACGGGGGCAGTGTCTGCAGCGGTTTGCTTGCTCCGCAACAGGGAGGGTGCATGCTCAGGTATTGAAGCTTCTCTGCCTCCCTGGCCTCCGAGCCAGTGTCCCAGTGCCCTCTGCTGAGGCAGTCCCTCTGCACTGCGGGAGCACAGCAGTAAGGCTGCCTCAGGACCTTCCTACTCCTGTGCCGCTGTTTCCTCCCTGTCATTTGCTCTTCACATCTTTCATTTCGCAAAAGACACGACCAAAAACTGAGAAGAAACTTGTTCAAGGTTATACAACAGTTATTTTTTTTTTAATTAAAGATATATTTATGTATGTATTTGGAAGGCAGAGTTTCAGGTAGAGAAGGAAAGACAGATCTTCAATGTTCTGGTTCACACCCTAAATTGCTGCAAAATCCAGTGCTGAATCACACGAGAGCCAGGAGCCAGGAGCTGCTTCCAGGCCTCCCACATGGGTGCAGGAACCCAACGATTTGGGCTATTCTTTGTTGCTGCCAAGGCACATAGCAGGGAGCTGGATGGGAAGTGCAGCTACTGGACCTCAAACCAGTGCTGGCACAGCAGATGGTGGCTTAAGGTAATGTGCTACAGCACCACTCCTCCCACCCAGCTTTTACTCTTTTAATTCTTTTGAAGCTATTTTTAAGAAGATTTATTTTTTTTAAGATTTACTTATTTTTCTTGCAAAGTCAGATATACAGAGAGACAGAGAGGAAGATCTTCTGTCTGATGATTCCCCAAGTGACCGCCATTACTGCTAAGCTGATCTGAAGCCAGGAGCCAGGAACT